TTTTTAGAGTGAATCCGAAAATTGAAGATTTCTCTAAATTGTTCTTGTGTGGTAAAAATTCCTGAGGAACAAACATCTTATTTTCATCAATATGCCCAACTTCTTCTTCTTCAGATGCATATCCACTAATGGATGTTAGCGATCACATTTTGTATTAATTCTCTATTTCTTGCAATATGTATCAGAGGTTGTATGTCGTTAATCCCTGTCCATTGCCTTATGTTTCGGAGCCAGGACATTTTTTTGCATCTCATTCCCCTCTTGCCTTCAATTTTACCCTCGATTATAAGTTCGAGGAACTGGTATTTTTCATTTCGCATGATGTGACCTAGATACGCCGTTTTCCTTTTCTCGATGGTTTCGAAAAGTTGGCGTTCTTGGTTTATTCTTTTAAGGACATCTATATTTGTGATTTTCGCTGTCCATCGTATTTTTAGGATACCTAGGTAAAGCCACATTTCGAAAGCTTCTAATCTGTTTATATCCTCGTTTTGAGTATCCAGCCCTCTACGCCATATAGCAGCACTGACCATACGTAGCACTTAGTAAACCTTAGTCTCAGTTGAAGATCAAACTCTGAACAAGTGCCCAACAGAGTTAATGAATTTGCCAGTAATTCGTGTGTAAGGTCAAGATCAGTTAAGTAGTTTTCGCAATTAATTATAGATTATAGCAATAATTATCGATTGTCACATTTCTGTTGAAATTATAATAAGGCTCAACGAGTGGCTTTACAAGTTGCGATGCAAAGTCTTTTGCTAATGTATTTCCTTTGTTTTCCTGTACATGTTATATCATCTTAAGGGCAATATGTTTCCGAGTTACAGACCCACCATATTTTCATGCCATATTATCATCATCACTATCATTAAGTTTTTTCCTGGTAAATAGTATTTCTGAAAGTTTTGGTTAACTTAATTCCATACATCGTGTATTGCTGCTAATGTATCGTACCTTTTGCGTTTAGACCTCGTATCTTTATCGTCAAATCGAACAAATCTTAGCAATTTTTTGAATCGTTTCATTGCCATGGTATTATTAAATATATGAGGTTTATGGTTATTGTCACTCAGGTGCCCCGTGGTTAGTAGTAGTCCAGTAAAGGCATATAGCTCTGTTAGCCTTAGCCTTTTTTGGCTTCTTTATTTGTACACTTCACTGTTTTTTCACATTTTTTTTTTCACAAACAAACGACAGGAATCAACAGGTTCATCTACACCTTGAACAGGAGATAACATTATTGTGTGTATTTTGCTTTTATTGTGTTGCAGGTTCGCAGACGTCCTGTCGGTTGTGGTTAACTCTTCCAATTAATTCCATCCTTAGTTTTAAAAACCGCCCAATCTGAAATCTGGGAACTTGTAGCAAAATCATTCACTTGCCTCACTTGCTTCCGAAAGATGATCTTCAATTTCAGAGTCAATTTCAGTGCCACCTTTTTCAGGAGATTCTTCATCATTTTAGGGGAAAGGATGAGGCAGCTGGTTCGATGGTTTAAGAGGTAAATATTTGAAAAATTATAGTCCCACTTTCCTACATTTGGTAGGTAAAAAAATAAATAAAACCTCGAAGGACCAGCGATGAATGGGTCGCAAAATTGCGGATTAATAATAATGTAGTTAGTAATAAAATTAACAATAGAATAATTAAAATAAAAATTAAGATACAAATATTTTTATTAAATTATTTACAGAAATAAATAGAAATAGCAAAATCGCCAACAAATCACCCTTTTATAATAATAAAAGATAAATGTTTATATAAAATGTTCTTAAACGCACACCTGTTTATAGTAATTTATATAAAAAGAAAGTTTATATGTATTTTATTGAATATCCGGCAACCTTGTAATTTGTCGGACCGGCATTTGTGAAATATTGGCACAAAACTGTAGATTATCTTCTGTATAAAAGAATAATTTTAGGTACTTACATATTCGATTCACAGACACTGAATTTAGTGTAGTTAATTAACTATTTAATAAAATATGTTATTTGAAAACTGCTTCTATTTGAGAAGCGTGAGAATCATAACTTGCTTCTATTTGAGAAGCTGAAAAATGGTGTGACTTACGTCCTTCTATTTGAGAGGGCAAAAACGAAATGGAGTTAACGGTAGTTGGGTTTGAATATTTTAATGTAAAAATCTGACAGGCGCAGAAGGTACGAAACAGCACTGGTTTTCGGAACATATTATTCGCACTTTCTACTTTCACTAAAATTCAAGAAGGCTTAGGAGCTTAGTTGTCGACATTAACATCAATATCAAATTATTACTAGTTTTTAAAGTCGACTTACCACATTAACAAGAAAAACTATATACCATCTACTTCAGGAACTAGGCGACAAATGTCAATTGCTAGTGGCTTTGAGAGACAGAAACGAGCAAAAGAAGAAAATAATACTTTTTGTAGAGGATACAGTTAGTATCTGTCTGAAAGCCAACATTCCACTTCATAAATTGCATCATCCAGCTGTGCGTGAATACACTGCTAAATATGTGCCGGGGCCGGGTGCTCTTCTATGTGCGGACACTTTAAGGAGAAAGGTAGTACCACGGTGTGGGCTGTCTAAAAAAGCCAATAAAAAGCAACAGCTGAAAGACAAGCCCATTATAATAGTAGCAGACGAAACCTCGGATGAACAAGGAAGATGTGCTTTTCTATTCTCTTCAGAACTATAGATTTTGTACTACATCGAGAATGTTTTTTAGCAAGTGTTAACTTCCTTGATACTACCAATGCATCAACGTGTTCGCAGGCAATTATAAAAACATTAACTTTGAAATTGATTATTCACAAGTTAAAGGCCTGGTATCAGATTCAGCAAAATATATGTCTGCTTGCTTTAACCTTTTTAAAATTCTAATAAGGCCACATATCTTACATTACCAGTATTGGGCTCATAAAGTTAATCTTGTTGATGATGTTTTTGTAGGAGACTTCAAGGAGTTAAACATGTTTACAGCAAAAGTCAAGTCAGTCTTTCGTCTTTCAAGAAAAATGAAGAACTCCTACTTGAATTATTTGAAAGATAATGTGCTCAATCGCCCAGCAAAACTTTATCCAGCACCAGTTGTAACTAGATTGAGCTCTTGGTTCTCAGCAGTGTCGTATCTAAGTGAATATCTTAATCATGTACTCATTTTTTTGATGTGTGGGAGAATGAAAATTTCAGTATTAAATTTCTCAAAGACAATTACGCTGATGAAACTTTCAGACGTAAACTAGAAATTCAAATGACCTTCGCCACCGAGTTCTGTCCGAAATTAATGAAATTAATAGACGTTTTGGAAGAAGCCCTCAGCCCGTTATCAATTCGCCCATCTATTATGGAACAAATTAGAAGACTTAAAGTCGTCACTTAAACGCCATCACCAAGTTTATTTTGATGTAAAAGCATCTCGATTGCTCACTCAAACCTCAGTAAATATTATAAAAATAAAATACCTTTTAAATCTATGCCAAAACGCTTTCACGAAGCTGTAAAATCTGAAGGAGCAGATATATATTTTCTATTAAAATTATTTAAATTGTACCTACTACTTATTTTCTCAACTAATAAACCCTTATTTCAAACCATAACTATATATTTCTTCTTCGGTTTACTTTCTTTTCTATTATTTGATATGATACCATCTTAAGCTTAAAACTCTCTAAAATCTATTATCTATTTGGCTTTTTAACATTTACTCTCATCTAATTCTCAAACACTAATAAAATCTGTCTTGATCCCTCTCTGTGCTCTAATTTGAATACTGATGGCGCCCTCTTTTAAAGACTGGTTGGACCGAAGCGAGATCGATTATAGAAACCAATTATCACAAATTTAGTAGGTAGATTATCAAAATTTACTCAAGGATTTTCAGAAGAATGTTTCGGTATTTTTTTATAATATTATCTATTAATAATTAAAAATTACAATGAATACATAATAGATTTACATTGTATATGATCACGTTACAAATATCCGAAAGAAGAAAGAGTCATTCTGATTCTGAACAAAAATGTGGCTTGGTTTTCAAAATTGATTAAATTGGATTAATCAATCTTTCTACTATGGTCATAGATGGCGCCATGGTTTTTTGGAATGTAATAAATTTAATATAATAATGTAAATTTTAGTCACAGAACAGATAACAATTGCTTTCTTGTTTTGTGTTTTAGTAGAGTATTTTAGTATAAAAATGTTTAACTATTTTTGTTTTTCTTATTGATTTCTATTAATATTTGCATATTGCAACAAGGTTAATATAGGTGTGCATATTTTCTTATTTTAAAAGTAACTCTCTTATCCTTTCTACCAGTATTCCATTTTTATTTAGTTTATAAACAATGTGTTGTGGGATAGACCAGATGGGAAAAGCTCTATAGGACGAATTAAAAAAAAAAGGTAAAAAGATGCAGTCAGAGAGGATCTGAGGGAGACAATAGGAAATAGTGGCACAGGACCGACAAACAAGTAAGGCATCAGATACTAACAAAGAGTTCTAACGCCATTAATAATCATAATTGTGTTATTTAGTGCTTTTTAGCATCGTGTGTAATCATATTATTGATCAATCTCCTATGAATTGTATGCGTTATTTGCGGAAAATATTGAGAAACCCAGATCCATCTCTGTAGCTAGTGACTGTTAGTTGCCTACATTTGGCGTACAATCATATCGTAAAATATCAGATTGTAAAATAAAATAAATAATATACCTACTTAATAGACTTGCATAAAACTGACTTGCTAATATTTTTTTAACGTTATTACTTTTTATAACTTTCTTAGTGTGAAAGTAAGGACTTAGGAATGTAAAATCGGTAAAGACAATATGAGAACCTAATTCCAAATTTTCAATGTAAACCATTGAATATAAGTCTGACATATTTTATTTACTCAATTTCCTTAGTTTAGATGGTAGATGTTTAGAAACAAGATTATTTCGTGTTCTTTATGGAGACCTATAAAACGTATGCTGTTAGCTGGAACGGAACTTTATTTAAGGTTGAAGGTTGACATTTACGTCAGTTGGCAGTTGTCATTCCGGCTTTCATTTTCTTTTTAATCGATCTGAGAGCGGTAACGCCGAAGTTTCTTTTTGTTTGTAAACTTAAATCCGTCAAAATACAGAAGTAAGTACAACATATAGTAATAATATGTAGTAATGAATTGGTAAGTAGTTAATAATACATTTTCCTTAGCTTAAAGATGGCCAGAGGTGGGATGCGTGGCCGGGGCGGCATGAACCGGAATGTTGGTGGTCGGCCTCCATTCAAAGTCAAAATGTTTTTGCCGAGGCATCCATTTGATCTGGCACTTTGCGAAACTTCATTTCCTCGAACCAAAGCAGCTCCAGACGACACAGCTTTTACTCAAGCTTTATTAAAAAGAAACGCCGATCTGTCACCTACACCTGGAGAACAAACAGCTATTTTGAACTTAGTTACTAAAATTCAGACAGTTTTGGACAATTTGGTAGTTGCACCAGGAAACTTCGATGCATGTGTAAGTTTAGTAATGTTTTTATAATATTAACATAACCTCAATTTGTAATAAATTATGGGATTTTAGATTTTTTGTTTAATGGAGGGCAATTATAGCTTTAGTTGTCTTTTATGTAAAAGCGGTTACCGATGGATTTTATGTAGAATTATGTTGGCATTTTTTAATTGAAGACTAACAAAAACAAAAAATGTTTGTGATTAGTTTTCTTAACATTTATTGAAGCAAAAGTGTTCCTATAGTTTAACATGAGTATTTGGTTTGGACATAAAATATTTGATTTAAAATTAAGATGAGATCTGAGGCAGGACATATCCAAATAAGAGAAAATATGGTTAAGTGAGACTTATTACAAATGTGATTTTACCATGTTAAATAATTATTTAGTATTCAAATATTATCCATATTCTGTAACCCTGTACAAGATGCCACATTGTAAAAACATTGCTTTAATTTTCTGGGTGTAGAAGCTAGTACCCAAAGAAATCCATTAAATTAAAATTACCAAGTAAAATACAATTGACAGTACTTTTAATTAATTTATCAAAAATATTGTAAGTTCTCTAAAAATACTGCTTCAGAACTAGCAGGTGAATGATACATGCTACCCTAAACAATCTTGTAAGAACCAATATCTACTTTAATAAATTACATATATATATATATATATATATATATATATATATATATATATATATATATATAAATTACATATATATATATATATATATATATATATATATATATATATATATATATATATATACACTAAAAATTATCTTCCTGGGCATATAATATAACACCCCCTGTAGATTGTTTAGATGAATTGCAGCATATCACCTTATACTCACACAAAGCAATTTCAGAATCTTCAATTTCACTTGTAACTCAAGCTTCACTAACCACTATTATTTTAGGACAATAATACAGTAGACTTAACTTGACTTGATCCATTTTAACAAGCTCTGTGCATTTAAATATAAAACATCAATATTAAATAATATACTAGGGCTACTTACTACTAGTTTTTTTTTTTAGATAAAATTATGTCTTTCGCTATTTTAGTCCTGTTATTAATGAATTTGGTTGTTTTAGAATTATCACCTTTCTTAACCATATCATCTAATTTTAAATTGATTTTCTTGAAATACTCTTGCTGGGCTTTTGTTTAATCCAGGGAAATTCTGACATCCGGCATTTTAATTAATCTTGTATTTTTGACAACATGTTAGCATCTTTGGCTGTATTTAATACTACTTTAATGGGTCTCATTCTGTTAGCATATTTTTCCAATCTAAATAGTTTACTATTATTTTTGTTAATATTAAAATCAGTCAAAATATTTAGTACCCCTTTTTGTCCTCTGCATTACGTTCCGATTGATTATTTTTAACAGATTCATCAACATTAAATATAATGTATTGGTAACCCCATTTTGCCTCTTCAGCATTTCGGAAATAATATCATTTATATCTGGTGCGACAGATGTGACATTTTCCTTATGTTGAATTTTATTTATACTTTCCTTAAGCTCACTCACTTCTTTTAACAGAGCTGGTACCTTCTGAAATCCCACTTCACACTGTTCACAGAAAAACTTCCGTTTATGTTTTGTTTTCAACTGCATGCATTTAACTTCAGATGCTGTTAAATTACCACATTCCATACAAAGCACAGTTATGCATCCATCACAAGCACAAATTTGATGCAAGTCAAATTGGTTATTATACTCGGCGCATGTATATATTAAAATATAGAACAAATATAGAAAACTTCCTGGACTATAATCACAATCTCAGAACCGCTTAGCTTTATTAGCACATTAAGTTTTTATTGTCACTATTTAATTTTATTTATCAACTTTTGTAGTAAAGAAAGGATTCAACATCAAAGTTACTTGTCAAAGAATTGGAATTTTTTGGCCAGTTTAAACCATGAAACAACACATATTTATGATATATTAGTTTTCTCTAGGACTTCCCATATCTTATTAATGGCTACTCTATAATATGCTTTTGTTAAATCCACTATTAGCAAATTTAATTATTGTGCTATTGAAAGCATTGTTTCTATTACTTGTATTACTCTAAAAAATAACTAAAATAATTCCAAAATTATTGTTAGAACATTTCTAAGTAGTTGGTTGTATTATAAGAATGTAATAATATCATTAATGTTGTGCAATGAGCTTTAAAAGAAATAATATATAGAACAATATTGTGTCTATTTGTTTGTGTAGATGTATATCTCACATTTAATATTATTTTTAGTGCATATATATGATTCTTAAATGATACTATTTTTTATTTTAGCAACTTGATGAAGTCCGGCAAGTAGGTTCCTTTAAAAAGGGAACTATGATTACAGGGCACAACATTGCAGATATTGTTGTCATTCTGAAAACTCTTCCTACCCGTGAAGCTGTGGAAGCCCTTGGTAACAAAGTTCGTGACGATCTGAGAAATTTAATGAAAAATGAAATAGTACAAAAGGGTGAACAACTGGCACATACCACTAATGAAAGGGGTATAGAAATTAGTAATGCATTCGCATGTGTAAGGGTAATGGTTACTACATTACATCATAATATCAGAAAATTGGATCCTGAGATTCATTTAGATCAAAAAATCATGTTAAGCCATCTGGCAGCAATCCGTCACAGCAGGTGGTTTGAGGAAAATGCTCGCCATTCATCAATCAAAGTTTTGATTCGTTTATTGAGAGATGTAAGAAGTCGAAATGAAGGTTTTGAGCCATTGACACCTTGGATGTTGGATTTATTAGCTCATTTTGCTATAATGCACAATCCCAGTCGTCAAGCCTTGCCTCTTAATGTTGCTTTCAGAAGAGTGTTCCAGCTTTTAGCAGCTGGCCTCTTCCTTCCAGGTTCAGCAGGTATCACCGACCCCTGTGAAGGGGTTAGTTTGAGAATTCATACAACAATGAGCTTGGAGCAGCAAGATATTTGTTGTTTAACTGCCCAGTCAGTAGTTAGAGTTTTAGCTCATGGTGGATATAAACACATCCTTGGTTTGGAAGGAAATGCAAATATAGCACAAGAATTAACGGTATGGGATGGAATTGTAGTTTCCCCATTAGATAAGGCTTACGAGAATCCCCAGAAAGGAAAGAAGGAGATGAAGATGAGGATATGGAAGCAGAGGGAGATGAAAGTATGGAAACTCAAGATGCTTGATCTGTGTGAAAGTATTATGTGGTAAATTATAATAATTGTGTTCTGAATCAGTTTCATTCGAGTCAGGAGATTTAAGTTAATATCAATCTCTTTTAATGAATAAGAATTTAAATTTTTCATATGATTTTCTTTAACAGTAATAACTAAATGTAAAATAATATACTACTATGTTATTTCTGTTAATCATAAAAATTTCATTTTGTAATATGTGTCTTTGTGATACAATAAACAATTTTTTTATTTAATACATAAATGAATTATTATTTACAGCTGTTTCTATGTATTTAAAGATTATTTTAAATAAGATAACATGCTTTTATAGTTCAGATTAGAAAGTGATCATTTGTATCAGTCCAGGTCAAATTGGACACTGCTTTCTTATATTCCTTTAAACCTAAAGTTAATAAATACCATCAATTAAACAGTGTTAATAAAATAAATTGTAAAGACTGGAATTCAACATATATTGGACAAACACACCAATACCTAGATAGAAGAATTGTTGCACACAAACATAGTGTGCAAACTAATACATTAAATACAACAGCCCTAGCTAACCATTCTTTAGATTTCGAAAATGTACAGATTTTGGAAAAAGAACAAATTTGCAACAAAAGATGCATATTGGAAATGATTCACATAAAAAGGATCCAAATTCCATCAATAATAAGACTGACATCAAACATCTTTCCAATGTGTATCATAATTTAATAAATTGAGTTGTTTTTTAAATGCACTATTGCAGATATTTAAGATACAACCCTGAACCACTCCTATTTTAATAAATAAATATCCAATAAAATCTCATAGTATCATTAAAATATAACTTAGCAGGCTCTTAAAAGACAGTCATGTCTACATAAAAAGAAGAAGAAAAAGTCTTCAGTTGGTCTGTCCATCGTGTTGGAGATCTTCCTCTTGACTTCCGCTTTGTACTATCAATAGTTTCATAGTCCCCATTCTTCTTATTGTTCTGAAGCTATTTTCTTGTGGCATCTTAAAGCAGTTGCTATTTTAATAGGAATAAGCCACAATAAATTGGTTTAAAATAGGTTTATATTTTTTTGACAGATATTCTGAAGTTGATTTCATGTAATCAACTGAACTATCTTACAATAAAGTCGCCCAGGAATGCAACCTAGCTATATTGGCAATATCATTTTAAAGTTGTCTACTTTAAAATGTATAATATGTCTTAATTGTCAATATAAATAAATGAGTCAGATAAAACTAAAAAATTGGAAGAATTTTTTACCAAGTAACAAAACACAAAATTTATTAAGAGCGTAGGCGCAAAATTTCGGACCCATCTTCTTTTTAAATGCATTCATTTTTTTTTCGAATCCTGGGGAAACTAATAAATGTTTTTGAAAAATTTAAACGCAGCATGAAAGAATACATTATTACCGAGGGCCGAAAGGCCATGAAAACTTCTATAATATTTATTTTAACAATTTACAGGGGTGAAAAAAAAAAGAAAATTTAATGTGATTTTTAATTTCAAATATCTCATTCAAAAAAATTTTTGTTTATTCTATAGCACTTTCGGTCCTCGGTAATAATGTAATCTTTCATTCTGCGTTTAAATTTTTCAAAAATATTTGTTAGTTTTGTCAGGATTCGCAAAAAATGAATGCCTTTGCCCATTTGCATTTTTGCGCCTACGCTCTTAATGTTTGTATTTTGAGAACAATTTTCGAAGTCGAAATTGAAACATCAATAAACTTATTTTAAACTTCAATTGTGGCGTATTCCCATTAAAATAGTAATTCTGCCGTCATCTGGCTATGCGGCCGAAGTAATTTAGGTATGCTCGGTTTACATTTTGTAATAACCTGTCTTTTATATAAAGTTGAGACCGGCCACTTTAATGTCTGTAGTTCCACTTAAATTTTGATTTCGTTGGAGTTTTCTATTGCCTTAATGATCTATGCTTTTCTGTTGCTCATTCTTTATGGCTAAATTCAATTAAATATCATTTTTTTTAGCCTTAGTTTCCATGGACTACTCAAATGCTGCCCATGTTAGGCATAATAGTCGTTTAAGTTTTTAAATTCTGTTTAATGGTAAATTTTTTGTATAGTTATAATTTTGGAAAAATTGTTAATGTTGCCCTATCAAACTGCTCAGAGATATTTTTTAAGATTGGTAGTGGGAGAAATAAGGAACCAAATACATGTTTAATATATTTATTGTCATACGTATACAAATTTGATATCAGCTTCTGTAACAAAAAAAATAATCTACATTCTGCTATCTACGTTTTTGGTATCAGTAGAGCTTTGGAGTTTATTACAATTGGACCAAATAAACAAATAATCGACAAATATTAATAGTTTTCTGTTCAAATTTAAGATATATGTTGTAGAGAAATTAAATTAATACTGAACTTAGACTTGGTATGGTGTGTGGATGGATAAAAGAGCTGGAGTGGAAGTTTAAGTTCCAAAAATCTTTTAGAAGTGTACAACTATCTTTCAAACGAAAAAACAGGCCATACATCAGTGCCTCGGTAGAGATACACTTACGGTAATAGCTAGTTTGCATTATTTCTGACAACCAAACTGCAATAAAGGCTCTGAACTCTATAAGAAAGATGAAAAGTTGTCAAAACAACGAGCAAACTGATGTACGTAAAAAAGAGTATTCCGTGACTAGGAATACAATGAATTGCTGGTCATATTCACCAGGAGTATTGGTATTATTGAGTTTAATTAGATTAGAGACTAGGTATACAGAAAATAAATAGCCTACTCGACCTCAAATAATCTACAGCCTACCATAAATTTTAGTTTTCCTTTTACAAAAATAAGAACGTTGCTTTTTAGGCGACTTTATTTTTCTCTCCTTTATTAGAAATTATCAATTGCTTCTGCTATTGATCTTAAATTAATGATGTTTCGTTCAAACGTTAAAGTTGATCACTTCCTTGATTAGTTGGTCTCTGTTTTAGTCCCATAAATATTTTCATGATGTAGATTGTAAGTATTAACTTTTGGTTCCTTTGAAGTATTTCTGATTGTTTAATTTTATGTAAGTACTTCCATATACTCACTGCTTTGTAAGATATATTTATTTTTTCCTTGCCCAGGTCTGCAACCAAAAAGCTGTTTAAATAATTTCAACTAATTCTTATTTATGTGCCGAAAACGACAATGATAGAAAATTTTTAGGGCGTCAAATTTTCTCACAAGATATGAATGCAGATTTAGTCCCTATTCCCCTGTCTAATATATGCAATCTCGCACTTGGCGTTCTGAAACACACACAATAGCGTATTCTTTAGCTGTAGAAACTCCAAATCGCACCACAGATACGGAGATCACATAAGTTGGTACTATAATTTTGCCTCGCGAAAGTGCAGAAATTCACCTGATTCATTTTGTTGTATCTATGACGAATATTTCCATGAAAAATGACATATTGATGAAAACCTTTCCATGGAAATATGACGAAACCTAAGCGAGAACGAAAAGAGAAACAAAGAAGAATATAGAAAACTAAATAAAAGAATTTCAGCGGAAATTAGAATAGATGTAAGAAGATATAATACTAATGTAATTACTCAAACAGTAGAAGAGAACAAAGGTTTAAAGATAGTGAAAAGAAAAGTCACAGAAAGTAAAAAAGAAATATACAAACAGAGAGATAAAGACGGAAGGGCAATAACAGATAAACAAAACATTCTGAAAATAACCAGAGAGTTTTATAAAGACCCCTATACCAACCAAAGACCACAAGACAATTTCCCGACAGGAGTAAAGACTCTCATAAATCAGGGATCGGAAATACTTTTGCCATTACTGTGTCAGAAGAGCAGCTTTAAAGGAAATGAAGAACCATCGATTGCCTGGTAATGATAAACTCATTATTGAGGCAATAAAAGCAGGAGGAGAAATTCTATTAAAATCACTAAGCGAACTGTTTAATAAATGCTTACATGCGGGTACAATTCCAAAAGACGGAAACAATGCAGTGATAGTCTTATTACACAAAAAAGACGATAGTGCTAAATTAGAAAATTATAGACCCATTAGCCTCTTGACACATATGTACAAACTCTATGAAAATCTTAACAAAGAGACTAACACTAATTTCTATCAGACCAAAGAACAGGCAGGATATGGCACAAATGACCATTTGCATACCACAAAGATCTTAATAGAATAGTGCATCGAGTACAACATACCAGTGGTTCTTGCATTTGTCGATTACGAGAAGGCTTTTGATTCTGTAGAGTTTGAAACAGTACTGGAAGCCCTAAATCAAAGCCGAATAGATTACAGGTACACGACACTAATCAAAAACATCTACGAGAACGCTACATCAAGTATACGAAGACAGAAAAATTCAGCTTAGGTCGATGAGTTAGACAAGGAGACAATATTTCACCAAAATTGTTCACGGCAGCTCTAGAGTCAATATTTAAGAACACTCAATGGCAGAATATGGGCATCAATATAGATGGAGAAAGATTAAATTATCCAAGGTTTGCAGATGATGTTGTATTAATCGCAGATAATTTACAGGATACAGTTTCTATGATACATTCGCTTAAAAGTCTGTCTGAAAGAGCAGTATTAAAGATAAACTTTGAGAAAACTATACTTATGACAAATCTCGTAATGAGTGGAAGTATAACTATTGACAATAATACCATACAACAAGCAGATACTTACAAATATCTGGGACACGAGATCAAAATAAGCAGAGACAATCAAACACATAAAATATAGAGGCGAATAGGTCTGACATAGGCAGCATTTGACAAATTCAGCCATATTCTACAAAGTTCAATTCCCATGTGTCTCAAGCGAAAGGTTTATAACCAATGTGTTTTGCCTGTACAAACTTATGGAGCAGAGACTTTAACATTCACGCAAAACACTGCGAATAAACTTGAGTTACACAACGAGTCATGGAACGTGCAATGCTGAACGTGAGCCTTCGAGTCCACATAACAAACCAACAAATCAGGCCAAAGATCAGGAGTTCAAGACGTCATCGAAAGAACCACGACGCTTAAGTGGAACTGGACAGGGCACTTGGCCAGAACACTAGATGGACGGTGGACAAGACGTATTATGGAATGGAGGCCCAGAAACTATAAAAGAGGCCGAGGACGACCAACGACTAGATGGACCGATGATATCAAACATGTAGCGGAAAACTGGCTACAAGCCGCCCAATGTAAAGAACACTTTAAAGAACTGAGGAAGGCCTATGTCCAGCAGTGGACGCGATTGGCTGATTGATGATGATGACGAATATAGTGTTAAACGAACTACTCGATGTAACAGACTTAGGGAAGAATAGTCCGTTTCTAAACTGATTATAGGGAAAACAATAGTTTCCACTTTGGGGTTATGGTATGGCAAAACCAAACGATCTATTGTGACGACTGCTACTTCTGTTCGTATGATATGAAAGAGTTTAACCCAAAATCAAAGCACTCCATTTTATCCCAAATCTCCACTCAGGTATTCGCCCTCTTCTTCATGAAACAGATTACCATATTATGCCAAAGCCATCTGTGACATTAGGAGAGGTACTAGTCTTAGACGAAGGTGAAATATAACATCAAAACTCAAACTTTCACTTTGAAAATTATACTATCACCATATGGGATGTAAGGGCTTGTCAAAGTATGGCCACTTATACATTCCCACGGTGCATTATAGAGGATCTTCGACCAGTCAATTCGAAGAATCCTCTGCGTATCTTCCATCTTTAGTTGATAGGTAATATTTCCCGCACAGAAAATAAATAAAACACAGGAGTAGCAGGTGGGCAAAGTCCAGCCACAGAGTCTAACGTTCGTAGAACGGGAGCAGAGCTCCGACATCGGAGCTCAAGGGTCAAGGAGGTACTATTTGGAAGCAGAGAGCAGAAAATGTCGCATATTTATGTTTCTGTATGGCATTTTCATATCTCTCAGTCAATAATAAAATTTAAAGATGTGTTAAGGCGGGACGATGCGCATCAGTGTGCCTATTAGTCCACGACTTATACACCAGGATGGCAATACTTGACCAAATTGTGTTCCCAGATGGTAAGAGATTTGGATCTTCCCAAAGATGCTGAATTGCTTGGATTCCGACTCAGGAATAAACATTTATTACTACCTGGAGTATCGTTTTCTTGGTTCAGATATCATAAAAAGAATTTTGAACGTTACTTCACCCAAGAAGAAAAATCTTGTTTATTGTAGTGACATTAAGGGTTTGGCGGTTCAATTCAAAATCTAGTATGAATGCACTCAATGGAGTTTTAGTTCATAATGGTGGCTTCTATACTTCTATTTATGTTATGCAGTACCTATGTGTTCCTAAAAGAGACCTACGATGATTTGGTTATGGCAATGAACTGGTTACAAAATTTTCCTTGTGTTTATGTTTATGGTAAAACCAAAAAACCCTGGTCAACGAAGAGTTAAAATCCAAGAACGCTTACACAAAGGCATATTTGGTGGGCCAAATATCAGGAGACTTCTAGCAGATCAAACGTTTTGCAATACCGTGACAGATCTCCAGAGAGAAGAATGGCTCGCATTTAAGGATTTTTTGGAGAAATTCAAAATAAAGATCTTCATTAAAAAAAATATCAAGACTTGGGTTGTCTTATGAAACTAAAGATACCTTTTCTCCTATACCACCTGGACTGTTCTCTATTGCTGAGAATTCGTGGATCTGTGAGTGAAAAATGAGGAAAATGTTTCCGTCATGATACCATGGAAAGAAGATATCATGAAAAATGGAGCACAACAATAATAGCATACTGCTGTTTGAAGCTACAGAGGGACATTCCAGATAATATTTAATAAGCGAAAATGTATCAAGAGGATCCTCACAGTAAAGAAACGATTTTAGCTGAATTAAAAAGAAGGCTTTAAAATAATATACATGATTTCACATATTTTTATAAGCACTTCTTATATTTCGTTAGAGTAATACCAGGGGGAAAAGCAGATAGTCAATTTATGAAAAAACGTGATGTGTTATGGCGAGAGGGAATTCATTTTTGGATTCAATGATTCACGAACCATATAAATCATTTAAGTATTTCCTTAAACAATTTAATAATAAGAATTTTTCTAATGCATCATAGATACAGTTACAATTCTAATCGCTACCTGTCTGAAGTTTAGTATTTTAATCCATTTCTTTCAACATTTTATGAAATAAATAATTGTTTTTGCATTATAGCTCATACTGAACTGTAAATGGTACAAGTTATACAAAAAAGTAATTGGTCTTTTTACATGTTGTTTATTGGTTTTACATTGCTAATGATATGTAACTTCTACTTTTTTGTCACACTTCTATACATTTAATCTACAATGTTGTTTTCTAGGTATACTACAGCAAATCAGAGTATAAATTTAGTCAAAAATTTTCCCATATGGCTGTCCACAAACAACATCTATACAAAGTAGCTAATAGAGCTGGAACTCTTAAGATAGAACACTAACATTAGCTTGTCTATGGCAAATATCTTTTACAACTTAAAATTTGTAAAAACCTAGTTAATATAATACAATTGTTTAGTTATAAACGACTCCTGGAGGGAATTTACAAATTTTTATTCATATCTTTTTTTTGTTTTTTAAAACCTCGCTATTCTGGCATAACAGTGGCTAATGCATTTTGTGTTGCGTCCCCAATTGTGTTCAATATTCTAAATAAATCATACTGTATGCGTTTCCTAAGGATAAAATTGAATGGTTCTGGTCAGGCAACAATACTGACTATCCAATACGATAATACACCACACTATCTCCTCTAATACGATTTATATGACCGCACATACACATACAAATAACGCCATAAGTAGCCTTACAGAGGTACCAATATGAATGCAGTTTTAATCAAACGTTAAATCAGAGTGCATATTTATTTGTTTCGGGCCCAATTAATGTAATTTTTATCATAATAAATAGCCGGTAAGTGAAGTTATACACATAGTTTTGATATCATTGGTTGCAATGCTATATGCATTGCATGTTGCTATGGCAATGGATAAATATAAAATGGAACCAGAACTCTGGTTTTAAGATAATCGAAGAAGGTAAATCTATAAATGAAGCGACTTGATCAAATGATGAACTTGTGTTCCATTTTCAACTTTTCAGGAAAGAATTAAAAATATTTTGGCCAATAGTACCTAAAAAATTTGTTCAAATTGAGTTGGCTGGTTTGCGAAATAAGGTATCGATATGGAACACATCTTTATACTCGATTTGTTGCAGTATGTAACCTATGTAATTAACAAACACTTTTAAAAACATTTTTTACACAAATCTTTAAGTAAGTTAGTCCTTAAATTTATCTAAATACAAGGGTTGTATTGCGGTTCCATGCTGACATGATCACAATGTACCCTCTCATTAGGATTAGCTACGGGTATTCTAAAAATCTTTCCTAGTGGCATACATACACAAATTTTAAACTGTGAAGTGATATAATTATTGTTCAATCTCGCTACTGGAATTTTGTTTAAATCTACAAACACTCCCTCTTTTCCTAACAGTACAATAGAGCCATTAATGCTCTTTAAGTGAATATCTTGGTCAGCAGACCAAGTTATAGTCTTTCCATTAATATTTGTGCCCTCGGCACCTTTTATGGTAATAGATTCACCATCAACAGTTAAACTTTCATCGATGGGGCTTCTTATTTGGTTAGTACGAATGTGTTTAGATCTAAAATTGTTCACTCGCTTTAGGTTTTCATAAACAGGCTCATTAACAGTAAAAATAGATTGTTTGTCGGTATTATTAATATCGAAAAAGTTTAATCCTCTAAAGTAAGTTTCATTGGGATCTATTTTTGCTTTTAAACTACCTCGACCATTCTTTACTAAATTTAAAAGAATTGGACTGCTGTAGGATGTTATTTCCATGGGTTCGTCTTCGAAGCTTTCTACTTTACCATCTCGTTTGTAAATGTGATCCAGGTTTGTTTCGCCAAAGAACTTGATTGTTTGAGATTCTGGAACCAGTTCAATACTTTGCATACCTAAAAACGTAATATAAAAGTCAATATTTATTATACACAAAAAATTAATAATCCTACTATTATAATACAAGATACAGCGAATTCCTAGAACATAAAATAAATAACCAAATCCCTTTATTAGGTGAAAGCAGAAACGATAGAAAAAGCACTAAAATCCATGAAAACCAATAAGGCATCAGAATCTGAATGTATAGCTGCAGAACTATTAAAAAATGAAAGACCCAAGTTAACGTACTATCTAAAAGAATTATGTACGAGATATACAAACGAAGAAGAAATGCCAAGGAGTTAGAAAGAAGCATGAATTGCATCCATTCACAAAAAGGCTTAAGAGACTATTCTGGAAACTACAGGTGACCAGTCTTTAGTCGACTATCCGGAAAATTCTTAATAAATTTAATAAAAGAAGAGTATGAACGGTATTAAATAGAACAACAAGCAGGATTCCGAGTCGGAAAAACACGTCTCGATCGTATTTTTACTATACCTTAATTGACTGAAACAAAGTATCAAGAACCAACAGATTCATTTCTTATTTATTGGCCTAACAAAAAGCATGCGATACAGTTACCAGTAAAAAAACTATAACAAATCCTGAAAAATTCTCCAATAAATAATACGATTATTGCAGCAGTAAAAATACTATTATCCCGCTACCAACCCGCACAGGCCAGCGCGGTAGTGAAATGGCTAATTTTCCCCTTAAATGACATGACGCATACTATAAAAAGGCCCTTAGTCCCCGGACGGTAGCCACCGGATCAGAACAAGGGCAGAGGGTGCAAAGAATCACCGAGACAGACACGGCCACCACGGGCAACGAACGTTGCACATTGCCACTTATAACGTAAGAACGCTTGCAGCGCAAGAAAAGCTTAATAAATTGCAAGAACTTAACTTCATAAAATGGGATGTATTGGGACTTTCTGAAATACTAAGAAAAGGGGAAAATCAATTAGTTTTAAAACCAGGCATTCATTTGCATTTCATTGGAGAAAACACCAAGGCAGTTGGCGGCGTAGGCTTTTTCGTGCACAAGAAATACCGAGATAAAATTATAAAGACAGAGAGGGTAAAGGCCGTATGACACTATGCATTTTCTTATATCATTTCTTATATCGTTTCTGATATAAAAAAAAATGGATAGTGTCATACAGGCGTATAGTTTCTTATATCAGAAACGATACAAGAATTTGTGTCCGCTGCATTTTCTTGTACAAGAAATGCGCCAATTTGTGCGCAAAGCCGCTAAAACGTAAAACTTCTTTCATGTCATATTGGCGGATGGAGGCATAGAGAAATAAAAATAATTATTATTTTTATTTCTCTATGGCTGGAGGAGAACTTTGATATATACCAGAGATATGTAAGTATCTCTGATGTATACATACAATTAGGCCAAGCAGACATCAGAGAAAAGTGCCCACCAACAATAGCCAAGATTAGAACATAGTAGCCATATTGAAAAACAATAAATCACAGTGATTGTATCAAATAGCATCGGAACTACTGAAAGTAGGAGCAGTAGGAGGAGATGTTTTACTAAAAACAATACATAACCGCACTGAAAATTCGTGATGAGTTTAAAGATTATTTTATATCTCCAAATAAGAGAGTAGAGTTTCAAGAGCATACCATTCAAACACATAATTTAAAAAAAAAACAAATAAATTATTACAACCAGATTATTTATTATTTCTGGCTTCCATTACAACCTGTTGAATATCTTAAAAAATTGTGGTTTCCAATTTAGTTTTTGTCATATACTTGACTCTTGACTTTTAGGAGTTTCATGACATGACACTTGTCGGTTGACGGATGTCAGGGGACATTACACTTTACAGAGGACAGATAGGGATATAGCATGTAAGATATACATAAGTTACCACGCACATGTTTAACTAGTAAGTGAAATAAAAGAATATAAAATACATTCACCATTTTTCATTACGTTACAACTACATACACAACAGTTTGGCGACGAGGACGGTCGAATCTACAAGGAAATACAAATTTAAGGCCAGTATACATACATAACCTAACTGCAGCGTGGTGAACCAGTGAAAATTTACAAATCTACATACATAAGTGAAATCCTGTCTGATTTACAACTACATATACATTAAAAGGATGACTGAGACTACAATTCATTCAGTTCACACCGTATTTAGCATTGAAACTTACGATACATCCAAGAATTTTGACCGGTGGTTACAACGTCTTCAGAGTGCATTCAATGTTTTTGCAGTACCAGAAGACAAGAAAGCCGCATACCTTCTACATTACATGGGTCCAGATGCATATGATATTCTTTGTGACAAGATTTCACCGGAAAAACCAGACGAGAAATCATATGATGAACTGGTAAATACAATGAAACTACATTACAACCCTGAACCGTTGGAAATAGTGGAAAGTTTCAGATTTTCACAAAGAAAACAACATGAAGGGGAAAGTGCCAATGAATACATTACAGCTTTACGAAGATTAGCCACAACTTGCAAATTTGGGGATTATTTAAACAAAGCCCTGAGAAACCAATTCGTATTTGGTCTTCGAAACCAAAATATTCAAAGCAGACTCCTAGAATACAAGGACCTTACGATAGAGAGAGCATTAGAAGTTGCCGTCAGCATGGAGACATCAACCCGAGATGCAGCTCGATTACAGAAGTCAAATACAAGTGCAAATATAAATAAAGTTTCTAGTGTCAAGAATAAACAAGGACACATACAACCTACAAATGGGAAAAGAAGATTTTGTTTTAGATGCGGATCTTCACAACATATTGCAAACAAATGTAATAAAACACATTTAGTCTGTAGCAAATGTAAACGAGGAGGTCATCTGAGCAAAGTATGCATGAAAAGTAAAAGTTCAAATCAGGTAGATCAAGTGGAAGAAATTTTCAACATTCATTCAGATCATTCATACTATAGGGAAAAATTTACAATTTCAGTTGAAGTCAACAAGGTAAGCCTATCTTTTGAAATAGATTCAGGTGCAGCTGTTACATTATTAAATTTGAATGATTTTAAAACATATTTTCCTAATTTAAAATTACAAAATACTAATTTAAAATTAGTTACATATTGCAAACAGGCATTAGATGTGGTGGGTGTTACAGAGGTGAATGTCAAGTACAAGGGAGATACAAAATTTTATATATATGTACATAGTAAATTCAGATAGACCACCATTAATGGGTCGGGAATGGATACGCCAGTTAGATATAATCTTTAATAACATTTCAGAAGTATCTGAATTTACAAATACAAAACTTAACAATGTACTTACAAAATATTCGGTAGTTTTCCATGAAAGCATGGGCAAAATTTAAGGCTTACAAGCCACATTAAAAGTTAAACCACCCACTTCACCTTTCTTTATTAAAGCAAGGAAGATACCATATGCATTATTACCAAAAGTGGAACAAGAACTTACGAAGTTAGAAAAAGAAGGTATTTTAGAAAAAGTTAATAGTTCTGAATATGCTACACCTATAGTACCAGTTATGAAAAGTAATGGTCAAGTACGGATTTGTGGAGATTTTAAAAGTACACTTAACAAGCATTTAGTGGTAGACGAATACCCATTGCCTACAATTGAAGCTCTATTTTCTACCATGGCTGGTGGAGATAAGTTTAGAAAGCTTGACTTACAACAAGTATACCTACAAATGGAAGTACGCCCAGAAGATAGGAAATACTTAACACTTAGTACACCCAGGGGATTGTATAGAAGTACAAGATTAATGTATGGTATTTCCAGTGCACCTGCAATATGGCGGAGGGAAATTGAAAACATTTTAAAAGATATTTAAAGAATATAAAATACATTCACCATTTTTCATTACGTTACAACTACATACACAACAGTTTTCATATTGGGACATTTCTTTCATTTTTGCACCACAGTATTTTTAAAAATAATCAGTAGCATATGTTCTCAGTCCCCAGTAGCTTGGGGTCCTCAGGCCCTTGTTCGGTGCCTCAGGTACTGCAGTTCTATTTTTATAAGTGTCAAAATTTCGACCAATCATGTGCCAAATCACATACAGTTTCTGGTAAAAGAACTTGCATAGTGTCATACAGAGCAAAAATGTACGTACAAGAAACGATACAAGAAAACATAAATAACTTTCTATATCAGAAACCATATAAGAAATGATACAAGAAAATGCATAGTGTCATACGGCCTTAAGATCAAGAGTTGTGTACCTCATATTAAAACTGAACGAGAGACGCTCTAATAAAATTATCCAAGTATAATATGCACCCACGACAAACCATAGCGGTGAAGAAATCCAAAACTTTTATGAAGACATACATAGAGCTATGGAAAAAGATAAAACTCACCACCTTACTTGGATTTAAAGAAGATATAGCAAAAGTGGCTATGAGTTCATTTGGATACGGTGACCGAAACGATAGAGGAGGTATGGTACTAAATTTTTTGTTGCATCATCGGCCCTATGTTATAAACACATTTTTCAAAAATAAACACCAGCGAAAGTAGATGTGGGCTAGTCCAGATGACATAACGAAAAACGAAATTGATTTCATAATCACAAATAGAAAAATATGGTCAAAGATATTACATTAATTGATAGAATTACTGTTGGGAGTCACCATCGGTTGGTTAGAGCAAATATATTTATCGATATTAGAAGATAGAGGAGAGCAATGATAACAAAGAGGAATTCTAATAAATAAAAAGCGATAGAAGATAGAGCAGCTTATCAGAATCTCATAACTTCAAAACTTAAAGAAGTAGAACATCTAAATGAAAATTAATTAGACATAGAGGTGACAAACATGCGAGTAAATACTGCGATTGAAAACGTTCCTAGTAATTATAAGAAAAAACAAGGAGGATAAACTTCCCAAGCTACTAAAGATCTTATAAACAAAAGAAGAGAACAGTTAAACAAAGATATCTCAAAATAAATTCAAAAAAATATCAGAAATCACAACACTGAACATATAGCTCAAGCCATT